CAGGACTCTCTTTGTCTCAGGACTTTCATAATTTCAAAAGGAAGCACAACCATATTGTACATAGTAAAAGCATTCTTACAGAGGAAACAAATACTTGGACTTTTTACAAAACCCCAAGCAGACAGATCTCCATGCTTGGCATTTACAGCATTTTTAACCTGTGCAGAAAGCCACAGCCTACTTAAAGAACTTTGCATAGCATATGAAGGTAGAGTACAAAGATGCTGTAAAACAAGCAGGTTTTCATTGGTTTTGTTGGCTTTTTTTGCTTGCTTAAAGCTTGGCTTTTGAGCAATGCTTGCAGTCTTCCTTCAACTCCACATAGTACTGTTGATCCTTCCTAACATCTCCATTTCGTGTCAGAAATTCCCTGCGCAGCTCAGAAAGGATCTTACTGCACCACTGAGACCTACTGGCTGCAAATCTGGCTCAGCAGCTTTAGACTGAAACTGCACTGGTCCAACGATTCTCTGATCCAGAGAAAGCAAGGATGGACTAAAACCAGCAGCAACATGGTACTTGGTGCTCAAACAGAAAACAAGCTATGCCATTGCTGAAGGTGAGATTAGTACATTTTATGTTTCATTCTGACATGGTGTGCTACTTTCCTCTGAGTGGTTAGGCACTAACACACCACCATGTGGTCACAATGCGGTTTACAGGAAGTGACAGCAATATGCATTTAGAAGTGAATCCTCCTCTTAGTATTCATGTATTCAGCTACATGAAAAACATGTAGCCAGCTTAACCTGGTAAAGTAACATTCATAGTACGAGGAGATTTGAATTTTGGTGAAGAACAAATTTTATCTGGCAGTGAAAAAGTGTGTGTGTGTGTGTATGTGTGGTAAAATGCTGTCAAAGCTTTACTGTTAACATACATAAATGATTGCATAATTACTATTTATATAACTCCTGCAGAAATGTAAGGAAAAAGCCCCACTTTTACCTTTGTTCTGAAACAAATTATTCTTCTGCTTCAGATCCAGTAGAGCAGTTCAATTTTACTTCAAGAATACAGTCCTGAGGTATTTAATTACCCTGTCAAGACCACTAAATGTTCTGGCACCATACTCCTTGCTCAGCCTTCGTTGATTGATTAACATCTCTAAAACTCACTAGCTACTATTGAACCTCCACATAGGATTCCCTTTTGCTATTCACTAAATCAATGCTCTTTAATGCTACGAAAATAAAGATCAAGAAGACAAGGAGAGTTTCTCTCCCACCTTCACAACTCACTGGCCTCTGGTATTTTAACAGACTTTTTACACAACTCGTATATATTTCATTGTTACCAAGGGACATTAGATAATGAAAAATTTGCTACAAAATGCGACACTACCAAACTTTTTCTCTACAAGTGTCAGTGGTGAAGACAGGAACAACCTCTCAATCTTTTCACCTGCTTCACTAAATTCAGAAAATCAAACTAGCATGGTTTTGGTTTCTTTCAGTGTTTTGTTATTTTTCCAGAAGTGTACAAAGCATTTTCAAGAGTACTATCAGAGGTAAATTTTCTTAAAGGTGAAGCTGCTGACCGATTAAGAAAGAGGATTAATTCCTTTGAAGTGAATGTAGTTATAAATTTAAGTAACAGTTAAGCCACCAGGTGAAACTGCATTGCATAATGCCAAGTTTTAAGATCCCTGACTCAAAGGACACTAAATAAAGTTGCAGCACATCCCTTACTTCAAGTCTTCCCTTGCTGTACTGCACTTTGGGCATTTATAAATCTGACAGTTTAGTTCTCACTCTTCTAATGCAGTCTTCACTAGCTCATCTTATTCCACAGTTTTCTACAGTATGGCAGTTAACTCCGTGATGATGGTGACATAGGACATGTGCTCGTAGCCACAGAATTTGCTGACCTCTATTCCAACAGGAAGGTGGCATAATGCTACACTTTAAGCCTGTTTTTATTTTAAATATATGCAAAGTTATAAAGGAGTGGGAAGTAAACCTACAGATTTAATACTTTAGATAAAATAGTTCCTAAATCTCTATTCCCCTGATAGGTAATAATAACCCATGTAAACAACCCAATAGTTCAAAGAACTTCAGAGGAGAAAAACCTTATTAAATCTGACTTTTAAGCACTACTAGGCTAAATAAAATATAGCTATATTACAAAAAAAGGACAGCTCCTAGGCCTCTAGCCTGGACAAAGTACTTCTTCCCCCCTTCCAACACATATTTGCATGCATGTCTATACATGTCTCACCAGCATTCATGATTAAGGAAGCTGCCCACTCCTGCATGCAAGGGCTCTGCCACTTCAGGCCCTCTCACACTGGTGAGCTCAGGACAGGACAGTAGAAAGCTCCTCAGCTCCAGTTCACCTCAAAAAGGAGAAGTGAGCATTAAATTACTGTAATAGTCACTGTCCTCCTTGAAAGCTACAATCCACAAAGGATTGGATCCCTCATTAAAGTAGCCTAGCATCCATAAAGAAAATCCAAAGATACTTTCCTGTGTCTTCCAACTACCCCAATAGTCTAGATAAAACATCTGCCTCCTATTCAGCATCTTACACAGCTCTAAGCCAGCGCAAAGACAGGCCATTTGTTTGCCCACTCTTTTTTAGAGAGAATCTTACTACATTTATGTTAATGCAGAAGTCTTTTACTCCACACTGAAAATTATGCTGTGGTCTATAAACTCTAAGTAGTCTCTGCAAAGGTCCTGGCACTGAGATCTCATAAGTGACTTCTTCCACTCCAAATGTTGCCTCCAGAGGCATCAAAGACCTCAGATATCAACTTGACTGCTGCTCACTCTTGCCTCACAGCTGATTGGAGGAAGCTACAAAGTGCTTCACAGTTAGGTTGGACATTTCTGTTGGTTCACAGATAAAGGTAGATGCTCTTCTTGTCTCCTTTCAAGTTACTGCCACACAGACATCCTAGTTTTTTACTGAAAGAAAGCAACTGTCCAACGTACAACTGCCTCAGTCTTGAAATACATTATGGATACCCTTAGCATCTGCCCCTTCTGCAGTGTGGAAGGAAGTAAAACCACACTCTTTACACCATCTTGGGAAAATCCAGTCACAAAAACTTGTCCTGAAACCCAGCCTGTGTCCTAGAAGAAACAAAGTAAATAAAGCAATTTTTCCACTCAAGTCATGCACACTAACACTGAAAGGTCCTGCTTGCTAGGTACAATAGGACTAAATGTGGGTAGGTAGAGTCAGAATTTTACTTGTAACATGAACAATCAGCATTTACAGATACTGTTTGTTTTAATTAAATGGAGATCTTTTTATTTTGGCAAAGAGAGAATCATTTTGGCTTTTGACAACTCAAATGTTTCAGCTTTTCCTTAGCTAAAGATATCTAAGACACAAATATCTGAAAACAGACATAAGCTTTAGTGTCACTGCAAGGGTCTCTGACTGATATTTTTATAACCTACAATTCTACTTTTAGGTCCTGGGAAGGCAGAAAGGAAAAGCATCAGTTTTATCACTCACATCTCCATACCATATTTCCCCTTTTTATTTACCCCCAAACTTTTTTAAAAATCAATCTTCAATTGCATAAATGGAGTGATTATTTGCATTAATCACTTAGCAAAGTGAAAGAGGATTAAGAATTCAAATACTGGCAACAAAGTGAGTCACTGAAACCCCCTTGAAGGGAACATTTTGACTTGGGAGACCTGGTTTGATTATCTATAACCACCTCCATTTTTGCCTTTGTAATCAACAGAGCTTCCAACATTATCACCCTGAACATACAAATCTATGTTTGCTCAATCCAAGGCATCACATACAAAACAATACTACCAGAACACAAACACATTCCCTTTCTCACCGCCACCCAAAAGACAGCTTAAAACATCCTGGAGCGCAAAATGACTTGACTCAATTTTCCCCCAAAGCAGAAAATGGAAGAGACTGACTGTGGGCAAGAAGTCTGTCAGAAGCACATAAGGAGTTTTCTGAAACAAAGCATCTATCCATGTCTTTCATATATGTTTATTGTGAGCATTGAGTCACTATTTGTTACAGAGCAGTAACTTACTTACTAAGTTTCAAATAGTGCAATCTACTTTATTAAAACTTGGGAATCCAGAACAGGTAAGGCATTTTAATCCAAATTACTGCTATCTTACTTTTGTCTCAGTTGTCTTTAAGTGGCTCTGCATTGCTTTTTAAGTTTCAACCTTTTCAGAGGTGAACTTTATTTTATGCCTCAAACACACTCCTAGTTACAAGGCAGCCACCATCCAAGTGATCAGCTAGCAAACCCTGCTGTTTAATGAGGAAGAACAAGACGGTCGGAACGTATACTGCTTTAGGCAACACTACCTGTGAAACATGTTCAAAATCTGTATTCCCTGATAATTCTTTTTCATCTCTACCAGAATTTCAGAGTCCAAACAACTGCTCAAATGAGTATCCTCACTGTTCTGTTAATTGATGTTTAAAATAGCAGGTGAGAAAAAGAAACTATCAAGATTGTTTCTTGAAATTTGAGAAATTCAATTTAGTAAACAAATGCCGGAGTTGCAACATCAAAAAACCCAGGAATACCAAACATTATAGACTAGAAAACTAAAGCCCTAGAAATCCAGTAATTCATAGATAACTGAAATAGTTATTTCTGCATTTCTTTTTAAGGATTTGTAAGAGAAACAAGACAACTAGAAATCTAAAAAAAGGAAGTAATAATAAGGAAGTTATATCATCTCTGAGAAAATAAGGAGGAAGCACAGCATTCAGACAACGTGCTATATAGCATTTCTTCAACTAAAGCATACAACAATTTCTCTGTTAAAGCAATTCAACTATACATACAAAATATTAAGTGGATTAAGAAGATGGCATTTTCTATACTTAATTTAGGTCTCTGAATCAAGAGACTACACAGGACTACCATTTGCTATATGAAGTCCTTGTCTATTCTACTGATATTAGCAGAATGCCTGTTACACTTAGAAAGATAAAACAAATCAAGCAGTTCAGTTTTATGAAATCATATTAACAATACATACTTTTATGGTTTTAGTTTGAAGTCTCAATCCATTCAGAGTGCAGATAGCTTTCTCAGCAACCTTGGGGACAGTGTAGTTCACAAAACCATAACCCAAGCTCTGTCCTGATTAAAAAGAGGAAGAAAAGACATCATTAGTACCGCAGTGCCACATAAGTGACAACTGCTTCAAACCTATACAAAAACACTGAGCAAACTTCGCTTATATTAAAGAACAGTATCTGCCCCAGATAACAAAATTTCAAAGGTTCACAATGCTTAATTTTTCCAGTAAGATTAGTAGATTCGAAGTAGCTTCCTCTGTTACTGTGTACTGCCCTAAGTTCAACACACGAATGACTAGATTCAGTTTAATGGAAGACTTAAAAACCAATATGCAAAATAGGTTCAGGAATGTGTTATGATCTGTCAGACACTAGAGGAAGTGCAGAAGCACCAAGGTTAAGGGGACATCAGGAACACACTAGTCATTAACTTTTAAACTTTCCAATTGAACACAAAGTATAGCAGCAATATTCTGGACCACTGCTTGAAAATGAGTGTTTCAAATATCCTTTCATGTCAGAATTCGAACCAAATTTGAAGCCAAACATTTTTACAGATGTTATTCACACACTGTGTACAGCCTCTCAGCAACAAGGAGTTCAAAGCCTTATTTTGGTTTTTACTCAAAACAACTGGTACAAGTAACTGATCATGAACTAAATATTAACCAAAGATGACGTATTTTCAGGTGGTTTAGAGTTGGAAATTCAAATGACAGATGGAGGTAAAGCATTTTTAATTACTTTTAATCTTTGAACAACAGCCCATTTCTAACCACACATTCTGTCTAAGCACTTATTAAAACACTTGAGTTTAGCAGCAGCCATTTTCTGACAATTTCAAAACCTACAGTATACCATCCCTAACTAGCATGCCCCTTTCAAAGTACTTTCAGTGTACAGGAACACAAATAGGTGGAAAATCTTAACACACTGAAATGATACCACATAGTAAGGATATTGTGCTTTACTATCAAACCTTTCCAGAAACAATTCCATACACTCTGACCTTTTTTTTCTTAGGAATTAAAACAAAGTCAAAAAACCCATACAACAAGCCATAGAAAAGCATCCCATATATCTAATTCACCAAATGCCAGTCAGAAAGATTAGCTTGGAAATACAATATAAAAGGATAAATAACATTACATAAAACACAAATGGCAAATTGATTTACTGCTAGGAAAGATATAAAACCACTTACACTGTATCAAGCTCTTCTATAGCATATATACAATAGGTATTAAGTAGTATGTAACAAAATAACTGATTGGAAGCTTGCACTTGATTAAATATGACAGGAGAGGGTTTACTAACAAGGCCACCACCACTGGCATTCAGAATTTTGTACCAATTATGCCTACTGTCACACAAATGGTCAGAAGACACCACCAGCCCATCTGCTAAACCTACCTCCATTCTCTCCTACCTCCTCCTCAAAACAGCACACACAAACAAATTGTCTAGATGGAAGCATGAACAGGTTAATATATGCATTAACAAAGAATCCTAAAATCAAGTGGCCAGAGTACTGAACAACCTGCTCTAGACAACCATTTTCTGAGCAGGAAAAGTTGGACTATAAGATCTTCAGAAGTGTCTTCAACCTCACCCACTATGTGCTCCTGTAACAAGCTATATGGAAATCTGCAGAAGCATTACTATAATCAGTTACAGCTCTACCTAGATATAGCTAAGTTTCTTATCCTAGAAGTGCCTTTTTCCTTATTAGTTTGATTACAGCAGAGCAGTTTCTATACCTGTCACCTCCATCACTCCTACTGTCTGCAGAAACTTTCCAACAGTGTCTCCAAAAAAGAGGATCATCTCCCTTTGTGCATGACTTATCTTGTGCATGACTTAGTCTTATCTCCTGATATAGAAATGCTATTAGGTGTTGCTATTTATCTCCTAAGGAACTCACTTAAACCACAACCTTAAAACATGCAAAAAAATCTCAAAGAGAAACTATTTCATGGAAGATGTTCCCAATACACTACTCAATACTTGCAGAAAGAACAAAGATGTACAGAAACTATTTCTACTACCCCTCTGTTGATGTGATCTGCTTTTCACACTGAAAACACCCAGATCACTGCAGACAAAAAAATCAGACTCAGCTGTTAACAAAGGATTTAATTCATAACCATTCACCTGGAGACACTCTAATAGTTAAGCTTGATAAATATTAGTAGACTAGCCTGAGAAGACGCATCAAAAAAATCCAGCAATTTATTCCAGACAAGTCTGAATTGATTTATGCAAGCTTATTCTACACTTTTGCAATTAGTAGAAGCTTTCACTGATAGCAGTTGAATACCGATGCAGGCAACCAGAGGGGTTGTGAAATCTCCATTCCTGGATATACCAAGTCTGACTGGACATGGTCCTGAGCAACCTGCTCAAGGTGAACCTGGTTTTTTTAAAGAAAGGAGTTGACTAGATTATCTCCAGAAGTCCTCTCTACCCTCAATGAAACTGTGAATGCATTTCTATTTACTTCACTTTTGTTTAATTTAGGCTATTATCTAAAATTCAAAGGTGTTAGATATGACATTCTAAAGGCCTTATATACCTAGAAAGGTTAAGAAAAGGCACAGCTTCTTCAAGACAAAACAAGTAGAAGCTACATGACCTAAACCAAATCAGCCACACTTAGTATAGCTAAAAGGAACTTCAGTTTTAAATAACTGATGACTAATCTGTATTGCCTGAAGGTAAGGATTAAACTGAACAATGACAGAAAGCAGCCCTGAACTCTTCCATCTGCAGCTCTTCTACACTGACCTCCATTTGCCAAAACAGAAACCTCCTGCAGAACACACTTGTTTCCATGTTAAGTAACATGCTTAAAAACACGTGTCTGAAGTCACAACAGGGTGGTGGAAAATAGAAGGTAAATCAATAGCTCTCCACAAGTTAATCTTCAGATTTAAAAAGTATGTCAAAAAGCTCCTTAGTCTCCTGTTTTAAGACTGGCTCAGCACCAGGTGGCTCTTGCCTCAGCTTTCTACTTCCAATTTCTGCTTAATGACATCACCTAAAAAAACCTCACACCTCTCCAGGTTAGCATTTATGGTACTGTCTGCTATTTTGTGCTCAGGTTTATCTAGTTTAGCCTTTCACAGATCTTCAAAATTATAGCCTACTTCACTCAACACAGACAAGGGACTCTCCTTGCACATCAGCTTCTAAGACTTTAACTCAGACTACAAGCAGTAATAAATTTAGCTTATCCTAAACAAAGGAATGACTGAGTTTCTTATTTTTTTTGTAACTTTTCACTTGTGCCATTAAAAAGAAAATATTCACCACCTTCAAGGGGAATGTGCTTCTGATTTGCCAGCGAGCGATACTTCAGAAGGTACATGCTCAAACTATCAGTTGAGCTTATTCCCCTTGATTATTCTTGTGGCCACTTCACAGTGCTGTTTCAAGTTGCTTTTGCAGACTTTCTACTAGATTTTATGATCAGGACATTGTGTATTACAGTGTAGAAAAAACCCAACAGTTAGTTAAATGATTGGTAGAAGAAAAGTCACCTAAAGTAGGAAAATTAAAAATGTTGACATTATCTGGAAAGAATGAGGAGTGAATCAGAAAAGCAGTTTGACCTGAACTTTGTTACAACAAAACATGATAAACAAAACCCCACATAGTAGTGTACCACATCTCACAAGCCTCTAAGATAAAGGATATAGAGCAAAAGTTATGATTTCAAAGTTCATACTCATTAATTACATTTTATGTTACATGTAACTGACACTTCCAACAAAGCCAAATTCTAGCACAAGTAACAAAAAAATCCTTTAAGTCAGGCATCTCTTTAAACCTGAGCATGCTATATCCACCACTAAATGAGACACTGACAAATGCTCTGCCTCTAAGTACATAGCCTACAAAATAACCTGAGCTGGAAAGTGCTACACTACTCACTTTAATAGTTCATGAGCTTCATAAATATTACTTGATCACCATGTATGATGATGCAAATTGCAGAGTAATTTAACAGATAATGCCAAGTTACTTTTTGGTACTATAGTCAATATGTAGAATGAATTTTGAGAAAAGGGCAAAAGTAATTTCAAACAATTTAATCAGTCTTTGAAAAAATTGCAAGAGACTGACTGGAGATACAAGTGAACACTAGAAAAGCATAAATGAAACAATTCAACACTAAATAAATAGCAAGTAATGAACACACTGATTCAGTATTTGGGAAAAAGTATTACGAAGAAAAGTAGACAAACTTCACAGGCACCCAGCACCAGAAGACCAGAAAAATTTCAAGCTGAAAGGGAAAAAAATAAGTAGAAAAGTATAGTTATGGTCACAGTGCATTTACTACAGTAATGCATTTTTTATTTTGCTTTAAAAATGCACAGGCTCAAATTCACAGTACTTCACAGAGAATAATCACAAACTAACCAGTTTTATCTTGCCCAGGTTGGTTTACAAGCATTTACTATAGTTTACTGTAAACTATAAATAATCCACACAGCTGTAAAGCCCAAAGAAAATCCTCTGCTATACAATATTCATAAAAAGTCCCGAACAGGTGATACCTACAGAGAAAGAGGTCATACAAAGATGTGACAGAAATGAAACTTTTCCGTTCTTAATGTTTTGCTTTTAAAGTAGCAGCAATATTCCTGAAAGCAAGATAGAGACCTTTTAGCACAAATCCTAAAGCAAGATTTTCTTTCTTCTGACAAAAAGAATAAACCTTCACTTTCTGAATAGCAAAAATACCTTACATGAAAGGACTCTGTGGTTACTTCCTGAAGTTCAGAAATAAAAATCATGAAGACTTAGGTTGGATTACTGTAGATATGACTCAAGTGAATAAATGATAAAAATCAAGAAACTTAACTGGTCATTTAGCAAAATCCAACCCAGGTCTAGTTTTTATTTAAGGTAGCTCAGAAGGATTGTGGGATTAAAAAAACCTGCATCACTGCACTGTACATTTCCATTGGCACAGCTATTTACACCACCTAAGAAAAGTGCTGTATTACCGAATGTTGGAAAGCCATTATAAGTCAGCTGACCTCACTGTTA